AATAGCTTGAACCCGGGGGGCAGAGGTTGCTGTGGGCCGAGATCGTGCCACTGCACTCCAGTCTGGGCAACACTCCAGTCTGGGCAACAGAGCGAGATTCCATCCCCCTCTGCCAAAAAAAAAAAAAAAAAAAAACTACCGGCATGACTGTGTCATATCAGGGAAACTCAAGGGAGGACAATGTACAAGAACTAGGAAGTTTCCAGGAAGGAGAAATGGCAATCAATTCAGGCTTCCCCACATGAAAGCTGTGGCCTTCACCCTAAGCGCCTTGCTTGGGGAGCAAGAGAGGGGAAGATGTCTGAAATGCCTCTGATAAACTCCTTTCTATTTTGAGTTTCACTCCCAATAAAATAATAGTGCAGCATGTGACGTAGTTTGGATATTGTCCTCACCCAAATTTCATGTTGAAATATGATCCCCAGTGCTGGAGGTGGGGCCTGGTGGGAGGTGTCTGGGTCATGGGGGTGGATCCCTTATGAATGGCTTGGGCCATCCCCTTGGTGATCTCTAGGTCTGAGTTCACAGGAGATCTGGTCATTAAAAGTGTGGGACCTCCCATCCTCTCTTTCTCTCTCCCACTTTGCCTTCCACCATGACTGGAAGCTTCCCGAGGCCTCGCCAATAGCAGATGGGTGGCGCTATGCTTCCTGTACAGCCTGCAGAACCATTAGCCAATTAGACCTCTTTTCTTATAAATTACCCAGTTTCAGGTATTTCTCTAAAGCAATGCAAGAACAGCCTAATACAGCACGCAAATCTCAACCTCTACACAGAACTGCGAATCTGTTTTCCTATTCAAGGGATAAAATTTCCCAAGGTGTGAAAACAAACAAGCCTGACGTAATCTTTCCAACTGCACTTGTACATTTTTAAATCTGAAGCCACCACATCCTCCCCTATAACACCCTTGTCCCTTAACTTCCACCAGTGCCCTGGCACCTCACACCTCTCCCTTCTCTGAACATCTGCCCCTTGGGAAAGGACTTGTTTTCACTAATTAATGCCTCAGTGAAACTAAGACATGGATTGTTTATATTTTAAACTCTTATCTCCAAATCCTGGGCCACAGATGAGTGATCTATCTTAGTATCCTTTATGTTATTCCCCCAAATCATAACAATGTAGTGCAGCGCAGAGACTGAGCGTGAGCTGATGGTTAACACGACACATATTTACTCCAGCCTTCTCTGTGCATTCACGCCTGGGCCTCGTGGTTCACAGCTCTGCCCTGTGCCAGCCCAATCCACACAAGCCCACTCTCCCTCCCACTAGAGCTCTGCTTTTTTTAAATCTTACTTCATTTCTGTTAAAGTACACTACGTGGAACTCGAGATTGGTCGCCTTCTCTCACTGCTACTAAGTTTTTAACATTATCCCTTTTGAATTTGCCTTTTATTTGGTGGCGGGCTGTGCAGTAAGTCGATGTATCACACTTGGTAATGAAGGCCACAGTTCCAGTTAACAATACATTGCCAAAAGCTCCCTTAAAGAAGGTGGAGGGAGGCCAGGTGTGTTGGCTCGCGCCTATAATCCCAGCACTTTGGGAGGCCAAGGTGGGTGGATCACTTGAGGCCAACATGGTGAAACCTCATCTCTACTAAAAATACAAAAAATTAGCCGAGCTAAGTGGCGCATGCCTGTAATCTCAACTACTCAGGAGGCTGAGGCAAGAAAATCACTTGAACCCAGGAGGTGGAGGTTGCAGTGAGCCGAGATCACACCATTGTACTCCAGTCTGGGTGACAAGAGCAAAACTCTGCCTCAAACAAAGAAACAATAAAAGAAGTTGGAGGGAGACCTGAGAAAAAGAAAAAAAGAAAATCATTATTCCCAAACTTACAGAGAAAAGCAGAAGAAAGTGAAAACAAGCATAATTCACTTGAACACAATATGGCAAAAATGAAGGACTTACTATTGAGTCAGAATTATTTTATCTCCAAAACCACGTTTTCACTAATCAAAATCCACACATAATTAAAGCACAGTAACAACAACAACAAAAAGCCAGTGAGTCCTTGAAAACGGTACAATCTGAAGTCATTTTCCAATCATAAATGATCTGACCAGCAGGGAGCACCTCTAACCCAGGGAGACCTGCCTGTGGCTTCGGCTCAGAACCCCCTGAATGTGGCAGGAGAAGGTGCAGGCATGTTGCAGCAGGGCTTTTGTTGTTTTTAAAATGCTTGGGTTTTTAACAGCTTTTTGAAATATAATGACATGCCATACCCATTCAACATGCACAATTCAATGATTTTTTAGTACATTCAGAGTTCTGTAACCATCATGATCGATTTTAGAACATTTTCATATTCCTCCCAAAGAAAGTCCCATACCCCTTAACCACACTCCCTCCCCACACTTCCTCAGCCCCTCAGGCCATTAATCTATTTTATGACTTAGATTTGCCTATTCTAGACATTTCCTAGAAATAGGATCATAGATGCTATGGCCTTTGCGTGTGGCCTTTTCTTTTTTTTTTTTTTCTTTTTTGAGACAGAGTTTCTCTCTTGTTGCCCAGGCTGGAGTGCAATGGCACGATCTCGGCTTACTGCAACCTCCACTTGAATCTCCCGTGTTCAAGCAAAGCTCCTGCTTCAGCCTCCCAAGTAGCTGGGATTATAGGCATGCGCTACCACACCTGGCTAATTTTGTATTTTTAGTAAAGACAGGGTTTCTCCATGTTGGGCCGGCTGATCTCAAACTTCCGACCTCAAGTCATCCACCCAACTCGGCCTCTCAAAGTTCTGGGATTACAAGAGTGAGCCATCGCGCCCGGCTGCTTCTGGCCTTTTCACTTAGTGAAATGTCCTCAAGGTTCGTCCATGCTGTAGCCTGTATCAGACCTTGACTCCTTCTTACGGCTGAACAATATTCCATTGTATGGATAAACCTTATTTTGTATGTCCTTTCACCCACTGATAGACATTTGGGTTGAGTCTACTTTGGGCTATTATGAATAACGCTGCTATGAACATTCATGTACAAGTTTTTCTGTGGAAATGTGTGCATTTCTGTTGAGTCTACACCTAGAAATGGAATTGCTGGGTCATATGGTAACTCTTATGGTTAATGTTCCAGGAACTGACAACTGTTTTCCAAAGCAGCTGCATGCACTATTTTCCATTCCCAGCAGTGAACAAGGGTTCCAGTTTCTCCACATCCTCAACAACAATTATTGTCTTTTTTTAAATAGAGATGGGGGTCTCACTATGTTAACCAGGCTGGCCTTGAACTCCTGGGTTCAAGCAATCCTCCCACCTCAGCCTCCCAAAGTGCTGAGATTACAGGCATGACCCATGATGCCTGGCTATTATCTGTCTTTTTGATGACAGCCATCCTGGTGGGAATAATGTTTACTCAACTCTAAAACACCTTGTTTTACTCAGAAGTTTTTTCTACAGCCAAAAGACAGGCTCTACCTTGAATTAGCTGGCAGGAAACACAGGTCTTCCCCAAGCTCTTGGGATATAACACTTCATCTTTCAAGGGAAAACAGACATTTCTTACAGATAAATCCTAGTATTTTAATAACACGATATGGAAACAAGTTTTCTCAGCAAATCCCTGGCAATGGCACAGGGCTAGAGAAACACCGAACTCTCAATGTCTCTCTGCTACTGACTGAAATCCTCTTGACAGCTCTGAAGATTTCGCTCCCCCTGCTACACTGCTAATTGATAACCAGGCTGTAGTCGTACCTGCAGGCATTCTGGGTGATTTGTGGCAAAGAGCTTCCAGTCATCCAGGGAGTAATGCTTGTGAATTGCTGTAAACATGGAGTGCTAGGAAACAAAACAGCACCATTAGGATGGGAAGCCAAGTGAGAGCCCCCCCTCCCTCCTCCATCTGGAGGTGGTGATCCAACAAGACAAAGGCATCAGTGTTCCTGCCATCCATGCTTAATTTGCTTTGAATATGCTCCTAGCAGCCAAAACCAGACAAAGGTACAACCACTGAAATCATAAAACCCTGTTTCCCATTCTAATCTGGTTAGACAATACTGCATTCAGGACTACGGAGGCTCTGCCAGGAGGCAGGAGAGGGATAAAAGACAATTCTCAGAGCCCTGCCCAGCCCACCCAGGCTCCCACCCACACCTGTATTAGGCCAAAAGCAGCACAGATGGTCCAAAGAGAAAACCAGGCAGCAGGTCCCCCGCCCAGGAGAAGGACCATCCTAACGCAAACTTCTGCTTAGCCAACCCTGAAGAACCCCACCTTACCCCTGAAAGCTTTCTCTTGTGTTCACAACCTGAACACTCCTTGCTGCAAGGTAAATCCATCGGGCAGCTGGTATTCTTGACGGTGGGAATTATATAAAGTATAACCCTAAATCTGTGACTATTGTCCCAGCATTTATGACCTGCTGACCTGCTTTGGGTCAGTCTTTTCCCCATATCACTTCATTTAATTTTTGGAACAATTTTGAACAGCATTAGCTTCACGAGCATAAATGGAGCTTAAGAGATTTAAATTGCCCAGGCATGGTGGCCTACGCCTGTAATCCCAGCACTTTAGGAGGCCGAGGTAGGAGGATCACTTAAGCCCAGGAGTTCGAGACCAGCCTGGTAACATGGCAAGACTCCCATGTCTATTTAAAAAACAAAAAACAAATAAAACCTACAAAATTTGCCGAGCGCGATGGCGTATACTTGTAATCTCAGCATTTTTGAAGGGTGAGGTGGGTGAATCACCTGAGGTCAGGAGTTCAAAACCAGCCTGACTAACATGGTGAAACCCCATCTCTACTAAATACAAAAAATTAGCCGGGCATGGTGGAGTGCCTGTAATCCCAGCTACTCGGGAGGCTGAGGCAGCAGAATCACTTGAACCTGGGAGGCGGAGGTTGCAGTGAGCCAAGATGGCACCACTGCCTTGTTGCCTAGGCAACAAGAGCAAAACTCGGTCTCAAAAAAAAAAAAATTACAAAATTTAACAACTGCATGCATGGCTAGGAAGAGACGAAGGCCAGAGTCAAACTCGGATCTGACTACAGAGATTGTACACCTTGCCCTTTAACAGAAGCCTCCCACCTAACTTCTCTGGGGCTACCTATGTCCCCATCTACAACTTCTCATCCTAAACTTCTATGACTTTAGTAACTTGCACTAGGTCTATGGATCCTAGAAACAGGAAATTCACAGTAGCCATCCATGGTTAGCTACACCAGTCTACGCTATTCCATTAGCAGGGAGACTTCCTAGGAAAATGGGAAGAGCACAGCAAGTTCTAGGTTTTTCCTGGACTATAACCTATTATGTTAATTAATCAGAATTGATTGCTCCCTGGTTCCCCTCACTTTTATACTAACACATAATCCATCAGTAGCAATGGCTGATGACAGCAAAGCAGGGAAAGGGTGAGGAGAAAAAAAATACCAGTTCCTTAGCAATTAATGTATTAGCCTCTGGCCCAACGCTCAGTAGGGGCTGAGGTCTGACAGACAATGCAAGCGATCATGGAATCCGACAGACCACCCCTACTCCATTTTGGGAGCTCATAATTTATTTGAGAATCTTTTCCTTCGAATCGCTGGCTAATAATGAATCTCAGCACCTCCTGTGGTTAGACTTGCTGCCCACAGTGAGAAGCTCTCTCAACTAATTGGATTTACCTTTTCACTTGGCAGGCATTATCCACAGGAAAGACAGAACCCCTGAGTGCAGCAGACATTCCACATCTAGGATGCAAAAGATGCTCTGCCTCTCACCCATAAAGGTCCTGCCCAAACGGGTTTCCCTTTATTTTTCCCAAAGCCAGGACACTATTTTTAATCTGTTTTTAAATTGTATTTTAACAAACAGTACTTCTCAGATTGATCTACACAATGAGTTTTGTTTTTTCGGTTTTTTGTTTTGTTTTGTTTTGTTTTTTGAGACAGGGTCTTGCTCTGTCATGCCGACTGGAGTGCAGTGGCGCCATCTTGGCTCACTGCAACCTCTGCCTCCCGGCTCAAGTGATCTTCCCACCTCAGCCTCCCGAGTAGCTGGGACTACAGGCTCATGCCACCACACCGAGCCAATTTTCATATTTTTTTTTTTTTTATAGAAACGAGGCTTTGCCATGTTGCTCGGTCTGGTCTTGAATTCCTGAGCTCAAGCAATCCGCCTGCCTCCACCTCCCCAAATCCTGGGATTACAGGTGTGAGCCACTACACCCAGCCAAAGCCAGGATATTAACCCCTCTTTATGGAAAATTAGGCTGTTGTAGTTGGCTAAAAGAGACCTTGAGCTTGTACTGTGATCTGTCCATTTAAGTTGAGGGGTAAATTCCTTAGATTCAAGAGTCAGTTTGGGTTGGAATCCTGATTCTCTCTCTGTATCTATCTGGCTGAGGGCCTAGGGCAAGTGACCTACCCCTCTCCTCTCTGCCTCAGGTTCCTTTTACAGATGAGGAAACTATCTTGTTGAGCTGTGTCCAGAATTAAGAGATACAGGCCAGGCACAGTAACTCACACCTGTAATCCCAGCACTTGGGGCAGGCGGATCACCTGAGGTCAGGAGTTCAAGGCCAGCTTGGCCAACATGGTGAAACCCCATCTCTACTAAAAATAAAAAAATTAGCCGGATGTGGTGGCATGTGCCTGTAATCCTAGCTACTTGGGAGGCTGAGGCAGGAGAATCGTTTGAACCAGGGAGGCAGATGTTGCAGTGAGCCAAGATTGTGTCACCACCCTCCAGCCTGGGCGACAGAGCAAGACTCCATCTAAAAAAAAAGAAATACATTATCTGCAGTGTTTTGCACATAAGCACTCGATACATGTATTCGACATAATTATACAGTAAATGCTGCAGCACAGACTGCATACAAAACAGCTCTGCCTTAATTTTAAAGGGGTTGTCACTTTTCTGCAATATGGCACTCTTCATGTTGTCTAGCTTCTTTTTGTATCTCTAATTTCCAAAACCATCACAGTCATATTCATGGAAGCAATGGATGCAGATCTAGACCATCTCACTGAACACAAAATCCAGACACTGTCCACTTTCTGATTGAAAGGAAAGACAGAGAATGACCCAAAGCATCTCACATTTCTACTCTTCCCTGTGTATAAAGCCAGGGGGTGCTCCTGATAACATGTCCATGTTGTGAGCAGCAAAGGAAAAAAACAAAAGCCTACCGCCTCACCTGTGACATCACAGCTGCCATCTCAAATGTGCCCACAGTGTCCATGTTGGCCACGATAATGGGAATCCCTGAGTAGGTCTGCTTTGAATTTCGAAACGTGAAGGTGCGTTCAAGATCCACCTGTTGGCAAAAACAAAAAAAAGGCGGGGGGGAAGATATGAGTGCTTTGCTCTTACGTGAAATGTGCAGAATTTCTGGAGTTTGGAGTGAGTAAGAACAACACAAAGGTCCCTGGATTCTCTTAGGGGTCAAAGACAGGTATTCCAAAGACACCAGAGTCGCAAAGGAAACCAGGTAAGGCACTGGATTCAGGTGCAAAAGCTGAAATGGGCTCCTCACTTTCCTTGCTCAAGCACCAGCAGAAGGCACTGGAAATTCCACCATCGAGACAAGCCTCGGAATCAGAAGCTCTCTCCTCCTTTCCCAGCCTCTCCAACCCCACTGCCGCCTTCTAGCCGCATCCTGAAAGACCCTCGTACATGTTATCTTCGCCCCACCTCCAAGCTCTATGGAAACCATTCCCCTCCTGGGAGCACCTGCTCCACTCCTCCTTGCCAACCATGGCCCTCGTCCTGGAACAATCCCTTCACTTCTTACCTTTCACCTAGAGCCCCACTCCAAATTCGCCCTGCAGTGAGCACCACGCCATTAATCCCTTTGCCTTTTACCCTCCACGGCTGCTTTAATTATGAGGATCTTTCAAAAAGCTGGTGGAAAGTACATTGCAACCATATGTCCCCGCATATCAACACTTGTTCCTTTGACTTGCAAGCAGCTGGGGGGCAGAGGGGTGGGCGCGGAGGCTCCAATTCTTCTGTAACTTCAAGATCAGGGCATGTACGACTAACCCTGCTATCGGCAATCCAGAACAACACAGCCACAAGGGTGGGCTTGACAGAAGCCACGTGCCAGATAGAGCCAGGGACTCATCAAGAGCTAGAAGAGTCCCAATTACTTCTCTGACCCAGGGCAGATGCCAGCCTGTCTACCCACCCACCATCCTCAGCCTGCTCTTATCCCAGGAAGGCTACCTGTTACAGGTTCCACTTCTCAAGTTCATTTCTGGCTGGGATTGGTCAATGGAGGACACTGGATGGGAAACTGGAGGACAGTGGCAGGCAGAGGTGGGGGGAAGTCAGGGTAGTTCTCCCAGAACCCCGCTGCCTTAGGCAGCTTCTCCAGAGCAGCTGTGTTGCCTCCAGGCCTGGATCCTCTGACCAGAGAGGCCTGCGTATTCCTCGTTCCAGCTTTCCCGAAGCGAGCCCAGTCCCTTCCTGGGCTCCAGAGCACTGTCTTCTCCCTCCGACCCTCGCCCTAAGGTAGGGATGGCTTCTTGCTGTTGCTGATCTCTGGGGTGCCTCAATATCCTCAGTTGTGTGAGGATGCCCCGCATTCAATTCCATGTTTTAAACAGTCAGCATTGTTTGTTTCTCTGGCTGGACTCTGATAGACACAAACCACATTAGAAGTGAGTGCTTCCCCAAGGGGAACTGGCCAGAGAAGCACAGGTGTGAATCTTACGCTTCTGAAGTAACTTAGCCTACGTTAACCCTGGCTTCATGAATTACGCCAGCAAGAGTCATTTTCTGCCATGTTTACCTGGATACTCCTCTCATTTTTTTCACTTGAGGCAACTTTCACTTTGCAATCAGCATTAAGTCAGAAAACACCCCGGGACGGCTCCGCCCCTTAAGCCTTTTCATTTCTCTTGCTTCTCAACACAGGATTCTGTGTCCAGAGGGCATCCTGGGTGAATGATGTCATAAACATGACTGCACAGGCCTCACACAGCAATCAGCGAGGAGAAATGAGATGCTGGAAGTGCACGAACCTACGCACAGCGGCGCATCCCTTTCTCCACTTCCTTCCTGATGACTCTGGGTTATACTTCAGTGGAGCACGTTATAGCGACATTCTGAAAGAGAACTGAAGGGATCTACCCATGGCAACCCTGTATGCGGCTAATGGCTCTCTAACATTTGGCTTGGCAGGCTTGAAACAATCAGAATTCCTTGGTCTCAAATTACTCTTCTGTCCTCCAACAGGCATGGGGCTAGCTGCTACACTCTGCACCCGGCTGAGATCACAATGGGTTTTTCTTGGCACGCCAAAACCTATCAGCAGGACACAAAACGCAGAGCTCTTCATGGAAAAGGGCAGCCTTAACAGTAAACGCTTCCCCTCATTTCCAGTCCTTTTTATGAGCTAGCTCTTTGCCACCATTAATTCTAAGAATGAGAAATAAAGTGATCTTCCCCAACTTTATCCGCCCAGACACACACACATAACCCAGGCCAGTTGTTCACTAGCAGAGATAAATATTTTAAATATTTCAGCCTCACAGGAACAGCACTTGGCACTTAGTCTGGCACAGCCGGCCAGTACGCCAAATATAGATTTGATTCCCTGTCTAAGCCTGACCTGAAAGGGAACATAAAGTAACAAAGTCCCCTCCCCCATCTGCTAACACACATCTCTGCTGCTCTCTAACAGGCCTTCATTAAAGCCAGTCCTGCCACCCAACATGTCAGGGGCTCAAAAGTGTAAATGGGCCGGCATGGTAGCTCACACCTGTAATCCTAGTACTTTGGGAGGCCGAGGCAGGCAGATCACTTGAGCTCAGGAATTCGAGACCAGCCTGGGCAACATGGTGAAACCCCATCTCTACACACAATACAAAAAACTAGCCAGGCTTGGGTGGCACGAGCCTGTAGTCCCAGCTCCTCAGGAGGCTGAGGTGGGAGGATTGATTGAACATGGGAGACTGAGGCTGCAGTGAGCCATGATCATGCCACTGCATGCCAGCCTGAGTGACAGTGAGACTTTGTCTCAAAAAAAAAAAAAGTACAAATAGAGGCCCACCTACCACATTCCTAAATAATTCAATGTAATAAGTCCAACGAACAAACTGCTACACAAAATAGGTTCTAACCTCCTACCCTAAAAAAAAAAACAATTTCATTCACAACCAGAAAGGCATCAGAACATGGTGGTGGGGAGCCGGCCCTGGGCCCCAGTCTGCCCCTCTTCCCTTCTCACCTAAATCCTTATGTATGCACAGAGGAACAGCCCCCCACCTTCAGTCTGCACATGAAGCTCTGTGCATACCCACGTACTTTTCCATAAACAACTGCCACTTGCCCGCTCTGGGTTGGAGGTGAGCACACCAGCATCATGGGTGGCCCTTGGAAACATACCAGGGCAAGAAGCCCATGCAGGCCTTAGAGTCAGCTCAAAGTCACTTGGGGAAGGATATCCAGGATCCCGAGTACTTAGAGCACGGCCTAAGGAACAGCATAGCCCACAGGCCCTGCCCGGTGAGAAGGGATGCAATTAGGGGGGCAGACAGGGGACCCAGGACAGAGGCTCCTTTTCCTAGATCTACAGATGGCACCGAGTAAAGCAATTCTTTTATATATTGTATTTTATTACATAATTATATAGATTGCTCATTATCTGTAACACCTGTCTGAGTATAGGGACAACGTCTTCCAACTTTGTAGTTCTAGTGGCTCAAAATGCGTGGGATAAACTAATGCCTGGCTAAAAGGTAAGAATACTGTGTTCTGGCCTCCAGCCTTTTGCAGTGTTTGGTGGCCCCAGCCCAGACTTCTGAATGTGCATCCAAGCCCTGAAAGCCTCACCCTCAGTTGTCAGGCTCGTGAGAAGCTCATGCCCAGCTGCAGTGCTACCAGCAAGCCGCAGGGTTCCACAAATGGAAAGGGCTTCAGAGGCTGGTCCAGCACACCCGGGTCCCCATCAGAATCCTCTTAGAAGTGGTTCCAAAATACTCGTGCTCCAGCTGCCTCAAACTTCATGAATCACCACCTTTGTGCTGGACACATGTGTATTTTGGAGTGTTTCCCTAGGCGATTCTAATGCATTCATGACTCAGAACAGCGCCAAACTCTTTAATTTTCCAAAGCAAAATTTACAAAGACTGTTATGGGTTGATTTATGTCTCCCCCCACAAAAAATGTTGAAGTCCTAACCTCCAGTACCTGTAAATGGGACCTTACTTAGTTAACAGGGTCACTGCAGATGATCAAGCTAAGGTGAGGTCAAGAGGGTGAGCCCTAGTCCAATAGGACTGTTGTTCTTATAAAAAGGAGAAATTTCCAGGTGCGTAATCCCAGCACTTTAGGAGGCTGAGGTGGGCAAATCACCTGAGGTCGGGAGTTCGAGACTAGCCTGACCAACATGGAGAAACTCTGTCTCTACTAAAAATACAAAATTAGTCGGGTGTGGTGGCGCATGCCTATAATCCCAGCTACTTGGGAGGCTGAGGCAGGAGAATCGCTTGAACCTGGGAGGCAGAGGTTGTGGTGAGCCAAAATGACACCATTGCACATTCTTACTAGCTTAAAGACTAGGGTAGAATGTTTAAGCCAGAAATGGGTTCTAAGGAAGAAAACACTCAGGGAGAATGCAGGCTCCCCAGCATATCAGATGAAAACAAAGGTCTTGTCTCAATCCACAAACTCATTACTTCTCAGAAAGAGATTATCCAAATGTCCCCACATGACCCTGTGGAGCTTTATTCTTCCATGCCAGGGGCTGGACATTTGAGAGATGAATGCCTCCCTAGAGAATCCAGGCTAAGGCCACCTGGGCCACTGCTACCTGTATTCTTTGCCTCTCAGAGGTGACCTCAGATTCATTTCATTCATGTTCATTCATGGGAGGCTGGTGGAAATGTCCTTGCAGGAGTCCTGAAGCTTCTGAGGGGGAGATCACTCTTACTGTTCGTTTCCTGCTTATAGCCTGACGATCCATTGCTGGGCCTGGCTCTTAGCAAAACTGTCACGAGGATAAGCCCATCATCAGCTGTCAAAACCCTCCTCCCCCAGCCAGACTCTACTCCCAGGGTGTACGTTCTCTTTCCTGGCTCCACACAAATCCACTGTTAGGCTCAATGTCGGTCATCTACCGTTCAGTTTCCAATTTGCCTCCAGATATTACTTCTGCCAGGATGCACACATTTTAAGCTTCTGATTGTGCAAGGAAAAGTTTTTATCTGCCTATGAAAAATTTCAGGCATCAACAAGCAAACTGAGAAAACATTAAGAGGGGATTAGGGAGGCCTAACTAGATCCTCAACGCCACTGAGGCAAGTAAAGTCAGATCATGGGGGTGGTCGGCCAGGCAACAGCCTCACGCACCAGGGAGCTAAACCATCACGGCAACCGATTAGAAACGCAATGCTGGTTAACTTCAGTCTCTATGCCCATGGCTGACAAACTCCCACGAACGTGAAAATATAAAAAAGACATCTCAAGGGCACTGAGTTCTCACTGCAATGTGTACATGAAGATTGCAAAGGTGCCATCCCAAACTGGAACATTAGTAGTTACAATCTGCCCAAATTGTGAAGCCAAGTGTTGCATGACATTGTCGCATGATGTGATAGTATTCTCTGAGGAGTAATTCATTCTATTCCATAAATTTCATTTTAGCTTTAGAGACAGGGTTGTCCAGGCTGAAGTGCAGTGGCACCATCATAGCTCACTGTAACCTCCAACTCCTGGGCTCAAGCCATCCTCCCGCCTCAGCCTTCCAAGTAGCTGGGACTACAGGTGTGCACCATAGCTCTAATTTTTTAAATTTTTGTTGTAATCTCTAACTCCTGGGCTCCAGCCATCCTCCCGCCTCAGCCTTCCAAGTAGCTGGGACTACAGGTGTATACCACTGCTCTAATTTTTTAAATTTCTGTTGTAATCTCCAACTCCTGAGCTCAAGCCATCCTCCCACCTCAGCCTTCCAAGTAGCTGGGACTACAGGTGTACACAACTGCCCTGGCTGATTTTTTAAATTTTTGTAGAGCTGAGGTCTTGCTATGTTGCCTAGGGTGGTCTCAAACTCCTGGCCTCAAGCAATCCTTCCAATTCAGCCTCCTAAAGTGCTGGGATTACAGGTGTGAGCCACTGTGCCTGGCCCTATTACATTTATGTTCAATATTTTACCTTCTCAACATGTTTTCTGGTTCAGAAAATAGGTATATCTTTGTTTTGAACATCCAATTTTCTGAAAAATAAGTTTCTCTCTTCTAAATACATTTTGAATATTTAAAGAATATTGAGGCCACCAAATTATTAGCATATCCAGAATCCCGGTATTTCATCTTGGTCTTGCCTTAGGTACTGGCTACAGCTCATGCTTCCAGAGACCCAGGCCTGTCCTCCAAACTGTTTTTGTTCCATGAGAGGCCCCCTCTTTAGCACCTGAAAGGTCATGAGGGACAGGCACAGGGTCACACAATCTGGGGTGATAAGCTTTAATCATTCCTCCTTCACCTCCTCCAGTCCTGCCGGGCTCCAGCCAGCCAATGCTGCCGCTTACAGAAGGCCCCTTGGTTTAGTCATTGGCTAACGCGGAGGCTTCCCCAATCCAAGCAAGCCCTCGGCTGGCAGCCCCAGGCACTGCAGTTAGGCCTGTCACCGGAGTGGGCAGCGGACTTCTTTGCTGAGGGGATTTATTTATGGTCTTGTTTGCGGAGCTGGACGGACGGAGCTGTGCAGGTTGGCCCAGCCTCCTAGTGTTTACTCCTTCAGCCGTGTCCAGTTCCCTCACCTTCCCCTCCAGCTCTCAGCAAAGCCACAGTCACCAGCGCACACCACCCCGGGGCACTCTGCCTTTCAGTGCAACTAGTTTATCCTTCAGGGGCTGACCTCCCTTCCCCCAGCCCCAGGCTATTTCCAGTCTGGTCTTCACCTGTTCCTTAGGATTTGAGTACATCCAGGCAGAACCAGGGAAATGCCCGAGGCTTCCAATTCGCCCCCACCTCTCCCACCCCAAAGCTTTCCGCTTCTCCAGGGCTAGGCTGGGACAGCGGACTGTCCAGGACCGCAGAGTCTCCAAGCCCCACTGCCAGCAAGGCCGCCAAACTCCGAAAGGAAACACTGAACTTGTGCCCTGGGTTCTCCTGTTTTTTCAGACGCATTCACTAAGTTCCACCGCTGGACCTGAAGCGAAAGCAGCAGCAGTTCTCAGCACTAGGAGACGCTGCCAAAAATCACCGGGATCTGCAGTTGTTTTTGTCGTCCTCTCTCCTCTAGCTCCAGTTTCCTTTTCTTGCAATATGCGCCCTCGTACCCCCATTCCTTCTAAACCAACTGGCCACTGGATCTCTGCTCATCTGTGGTCAAGTTTCACTGTGAACTCCCCCCAGGCCACCTAACGGGACCGACGTGTAGAGAATTTCAAGGGCCCCCATATCACCGCCCTTAAAGACACCTCACATCCCGGCAGGTGCTGGGGCGGGGGAACAGGGGTGCAGCGCCCCAGCCTCAAACACCAAAGCAGGCAGGGTAACCCCGTGCCACCCCCCTTCCACCCACTTGCCCGGCGCCACCCGGAAAAAAAAATCCCAGCCCCACTGCGACTCCCGAACGGCCCCCACCTCGGCTCGGCTCTTGAGGCTGCTCCGCTTAGGTCGGAGCAGGACATCCTTGAAGTCGAGCTTGAGGTCCGCATCTATGCGGGGCATGGTGCGGCGGCTCCTGGCTGCGGCGGCG